AGGGGTTTGTGGGAAGAAAAAAAGGGCTTTGAAAGGTCTCTTAGTGCTTGGGTTTGTTGTGACGCGCTGAAGTCGCTGAGGCGCTAAAATGGGGAATGGGGAGGGAATGGAAGTGAAGCCTTCCATCAGCCTGAAAATCCAGGATGGTCTGGGCCTGGAGCAGCAGCTGAGGATGCCCAAGAGTGTTCCCTGCAGCTGTGCCCCCTCCCTGCCCCAAAGAGGGCCAAGCACTGCCCCTTCCCAGCTGGGTGGGGATGGATCCCTCAGACATTCCCAGTGCCCGGGGCTGGGCTGGCAGGGCCCGCACGGATCCATTCCCGGCAGCCTCTCCCTGCAAACAGGACAGATGGGGGAGAAGCGCTCCGGGAACAAGCCGGGGAGGGATAAGGGAAGGCTGAGGGCTGAGTGTTGCTCATCCCTTGGCAGCAGCTCCCGTGCCAGGATCCAGCCCACTCCCGGCTGCCTCGGGCCCGGCTCCGGCAGCAGATGGGGATGGTTGGGCCCCCCGTCACCCCCAGAATTAAATTCCTGCCTCCAGAGCATTCCCACAGCCCTCCCACGGCAGCTGATGGCATCCATCTATCCATCAGGGGCAGGCTGGCAATTTTAGGCAACAAAAATCCAGCGGGGCAATTCAGTGTAGCCTCCCCCCCACCCCGGGCCGGGCTGAGCTCGAGGAGCAGGTGGAAGAGCCCGACATTCCACGGGGGAAAACAGGCAGCGTGTGAAAAGGGGAGAGAAATAAAAGTGTGTGGGAAGGAGAGAGGCTGAGTTTAAACACCCAGCAGCCGGAGGTTGGGAGATCAGCCGTGACTGGAGGAGCACGGAAAGGAGCTGGGATGTGAACCTCCCTGCTCCCTGCTTGGGAAGGCTGGGATCTGGGTGGATCTGGAAGGAAGGCTGGGATTTGTGTGGATCTGGAAGGCTGGGATTTGGGTGGATGTGGAAGGCTGGGATTTGGGTGGATGTGGAAGGCTGGGATTTGGGTGGATCCAGAAGGCCGGGTGGGATTTGTGTGGATGTGGAAGGCTGGGATTTGTGTGGATGTGGAAGGCTGGGATCTGTGTGGATCTGGCAGGAAGGCTGGGATCTGTGTGGATGGCAAAGGGAGGGCAAAGCCCGCGGGGATGAGGTGCTGCACTCACCTCGATGAAGAAGAGGGCGGCGTTGGAGGTGGGGTGGCTGCTGATGTAGATCCCAGCCAGGATGATCCCGGCCACGAGCAGCACGGCCAGGACGATCCCCACGATGGTGCCGGTGGGAATCGGGGCTGTCTTGGAAGGAAGGCTGCTCCCCATGCCTGGAAAACAGGATCCAGCTGGGTCTGGAGCAGTGCTGGCGCCTCAGCAACTGCCCAGAGCTGCAGAGGGTGGACGTGGCATCTGTTAACTGGGACATCACTGGGCATTTGGGAGCAAACTGGGAATAACGTGGATTCCAAAGGCTCCGTGGCCCAATCCCGAGCCCAGTTCAGGCAGTTGGACTTCCCTGAGCTCCTCCCAGAGAAAAGGGACACACAGGGGCCTGACATCAGTGAACAGGGCTTGGATCCTTCCCAGCCTCTGGAATTAGGGAGAGCATTATGGCACAGTTCAGTTCCCTGGTGGACAGACTGGGGCTGACCGAGGATTCAGGGAGCAGAGAGGACACTTTATATTTGGATTTTATGCTGCTCTTTGGCCCAGCTGGGGAAACTCAGAGGGAAAAGGGCTTTGTGTCTATGAAAATATGGCAAATAAAGGGAATTACACGGAAGGAGAAAACTCCCTGTCTGAGTTTGCACAGCAGGACAAACGGCACCAGGGTAAAACAGATCATTGCAGACTCTCACTTTTCACCCTCTGGAATTGCATTAACCAGGGTGAGGACGACAGGAATGTTATCTTGATGATGTCCCAGGTTCCCCTGTCCCCCCTGCTGACCACTGGAATCCAGGGAAACCCGTGTTCCCTTGGAGCAAGCAGGGAGGGGGTGAAGGGCTTACCCTCTGCTCCTGCGAACTGATTGAGCTTCGTGTCGTCTGAAAGGAGAAAACAGGGCAGAAAAAAAAGTAAAATCAGGGCCTTTCTCCGATATCCTGCACGTTTCCCACCTGCTTCCATCCCCCTGTGATGGGATCTCTGGATAGTTTCAAATCTCTGCTCGTGGAAGAGGGAGGAGCACAGGAAACAACAGTGAAAGCAGGTGGGACAGGGATCATTTTCCTTCACTGAGGTGGCACCTGGAGCACAAAAACCTGGGAAAAGGGGTCACTCAACATGCTCAGAGTGCAAGGTCTGAGCCATAAGTGGATGCTGGATGTGGGTGCCCATGTTCAGGCCGCAGCATTTGGGGCTAATACATCCCAAATAAATCAGTGGGATGTTACATTGGGGGTGTTTTCCATGGGGGCCCAAAATCCACTTCCACTCTGGAAGAACCAGGATATTTTGAACAAGGCTTTGTCTCTCGATGGTCTCCACATCCCCACCCTCACCAGGGTGAAATCCTGACCCAGAATTCCCACTGCTTGGCTTCCACATGTGCTGGAGGCAGTGCTGACACAGGGCTGGTGAGTCAGACACAGCCACCAGCATCTCCAGGAGCAGATCCAGGGAAAAGGGCTGGCTGGGGAGGATGTGGGTCCAGGGAACAGGGCTGGCTGGGAGGGACACAGATCCAGGGAGCTGGGCTGGTTGGGGAGGATGTGGATCCAGGGAAAAGGGCTGGCTGGGGAGGATGTGGATCCAAGGAAAAAGGCTGGCAGGGGAGGATGTGGATCCAAGGAAAAGGGCTGGTAGGGGAGGATGTGGATCCAAGGAAAAGGGCTGGCTGGGAGGGACACAAATCCAAGGAAAAGGGCTGGCAGGGGAAGATGTGGATCCAAGGAAAAGGGCTGGCTGGGGAGGATGTGGATCCAAGGAAAAGGGCTGGCAGGGGAGGACACAGACCCAGGGAGGACGCCGAGGGCTGGGTCCCCCCGGTGTTGCTGGTTCCTTTGCTCTCTCCTCAGCCCCAGCCCTCCTCCCTGTTTGTTTCCTTCCAAGATCCCAAATTAACTTCACGCTCGACTGTGTCACAGAAAAAAAGCCTCTTTTTCTTTTTTTTTTCCAAGAACTGGCGGTGAGCTGGAAAACGCTCTCCCTGGTGGTGTTCCACCCCCCCTCCCCTCCCCTCCCTTTAATTGCTCCTTCCAAAGTCAGCCCTTGGCAGCTCCATTCCCCCACCCAGCTCCTTCCCGTGGCTGAAGGACAATCACTAATGTTCCTTTCTATTTATCCTAATTAGCAGGCGGCGTTAGGGACTATTAAGCAGGGAAATTGGAGTGATACCTGCCGGGAGGAGCCGAGGAGCCAGCCCCGTGTTAATGGGATTAGAGCACGGGGGTCTCCAGGGAAACCCGGGGCTTTATGTGGAGCTTTCCGAGGCTGGAACGAGCAGCATTCCCAAGGAGAGGGCAATCACCTGGATTAATTCCAGGCTGGGAGTCCTGGCAGCCCCTGAGCTAAACCAAAGCCCGTGAAAAGCCTGAGCCCCACTCTGCAGGATTAACCCCCCTGGAGGAGGCTGTGGGCACTGCCCACCACGGATTGGCTGCTGCTGACCTTCCCAAATGGGTAAAAAAAGCTGGAACGACTCTAAAACTCTTCCCACTGGAGGGTTTCGTCCCTCCCTGTGCCACATCCCCCCAGGTCTCACCCCTTCCTTCCCTTTTCCACCACCCCCTGCACTCCCCCCTGCCCAAGGCCAGGTTGGACAGGGCTTGGAGCAACCTGGTCCAGTGGGACCATGGCAGGGGGTGGGACTGGACGAGATTTAAGGTCCCTTCCAACCCAAACCATTCCATGATTCCATGATTTAACGTTGCAGATCCTGGGAATGTCGCTCCTCTTTTACAGAGGGAGAAACTTGGGAGGGAACACTGAGAGGAAATTCCTCCCTGTGAGGGTGGTGAGGCCCTGGAATGGATTTCCCAGAGGATGCCCCATCCCTGGAAGTGTCCAAGGCCAGGCTGGACAGGGCTTGGAGCAACCTGGGCTGGTGGAAGGTGTCCCTGCCCATGGCAGGGGGTGGCACTGGATGGGCTTTAAGTTCCCTTCCAACCCAAACCACTCCACGAGTCTCCTTCAAAACCCAGGTTGTTCCTGGATTCCTTTGGACAGGAATTGGCTTTGTGAGGCCCTGGAGTGAAGGACCTTGGCAGGGATGTGCCCCAGGCACGGGATGTCCCCCCTACCTTCGGTGGTGAGGCTGTCGATGAAGAGCGAGGCCGTGGAGGAGGGGACACCCTCGCTCAGGGGGGACAAGGAGCTGTCAGGAGGGGCTGAGTAGTGGCTGCCTTCTGCCAGATCCTCACAGGTCTTTTCATCTGACTGGAAGGAAAAAAGGGAGAACAGCTGTTTTTCCCCAGGAATGCCAGGGGAGGGCTGTGCTTCCAAGGCTTGGGGCTTGCTGAGCCCCCTGAGGTTCAAACACTGCAGGGGAAACAGGTCCAGGGAAGAGGAGGAAAAGTTTGGGAAGCACTTAGGCAGGACAAAGGACAACCACTTGGCAAGGTCCTGCAGCCTGGACTTTGTGCATCACTGGGTGACCTCCTGCAGGTCCAGTTTCCCCTCACTCAACCCTCTGGGTGACGGGGAACAAAGCTGAGTTTTCAGCAAGGAAAAAAAATAAAAAATCAAACCAACACCACACACACACACACAAAAAAAAAAAGCCCAAAGCAGAACCAGATGTTTCTCTCGAGCTGATCTCCGTGAGACAAAGGAAGGAGTTCATCCAACGAGGAGATAATTGTGCTCACAAGGACGAAAACAGGGCTCGTTCCTTCCTGCTCGGGAGTGAGTAAGAGTCATGCTCTGGGAGGAGGAGGAGGAGGAAAAACACCCCAGAGTGCTCAAACTGCACTGTCTGGTGACTCCTGGAGCTTCTCAGCACCTTCAGGAAATATCCAGCACCCAGGAAAGGCACCAGCAAGGAAAACCCTGGATTGGATGGAGCATCCTTTGACTATCCCAATGCAGGCATCCTCTGCTAAGGGGTCCTGCTGGAATGGGAAAGGGGTAGATAAAGGGGTATTATCCAAAGGGAATAAAGGGTTATAAAGGGGTATCCAAAGGGAATAAAAGAACACCTAAAGGGGACAAAGGGATATCTAAAAGGATATCTAAAGGCAATAAAGGGATATCTAAAAGGATATCTAAAGGCAATAAAGGGATATCTAAAAGGATATCTAAAGGGAATAAAGGCATGTCCAAAGGGATATCTCAAGGGATATCTAAAGGGAATAAAGGGATATTTAAAGGGAATAAAGAGAGATCTCAAGGGATGCTCAGTCTGACCCAGAACACCACGGGTCAGGCAGAGCTGAGCATTCCCTCTTTGAGCTGGGACATGGCCATGGATTTCCCTGCAGAGCAGGATCATTCCCAGCCCAGGAGCTGAGCAGGGATTCCCCCCGGGCTCACCTGGCCACAGCCATAGGACAACCACTCCTCCCGGTACCGGTCAAAGCCACTGGAGCACCTGGGGAGGAAAAGTGGGATTGAAGGTGGAAGGAAATGCTGGTGGCACTGCTCGTGGTTTCTAAGCTGCCCAAGAGTCCCAAATCCTGCCCTGGTGGGCCCTGTGTACGGATCCAGGGCCGAACAAGGACGGGAAGGGTGATACCCAAGGTGACACCCAAGGACATGGGGGTTTCCAGCACAGCTGTGTTGAAAGAACCCAAACATTCCCCCTTCCAAGAGGAGGAGAAGGGTCAACACCACTTGTCCAAGGGAAAAGGAGAGGCAGAAAAATAGGAAAAATATATGGCCTGAGTTTGAGTTTCCATCCCCCGGACTCTGTGCCAGGGCAAGGCCACGAGCTCCACGAGGCTCGCTGGGTTTTTTCCAGCAACATCTGCACAGGAAAAACACACTAAAGAAATTATAGATGACATCAGGCAAACCAGCAGCGAGAGAAATCCCCGCAGGAACAGGGAATGGAACAGCTCCCTGACCTTTGGAAAGCCTCGGGGGGGAGCAAAATCTGAACCAGGGGTTCAGGTCACACAAAAACCAATTTACCCAAGGACCACAGAAAGCTTCAGATCCTGCTGAGATCTTTGCTTCAAGCACAGTTCCTGTCACAACTGTGGGCTCAGGAGAGGCAGAAATACAGATTCCACTGCCCAAGTAGAGAGTTGAGAAGACTCTGGGATGGAATCATGGAGTTGGAGCTGGGATGGAGCTCCAGCCCTGGAACCACCCCCCCAGCTGCCTTGGGACGGATCAAGTTGGCTTTGCAAGACCAAGTTGGCTGAAAGCCAACAAAGATAGGGGTCTGTTTGCTCCAGCTTGCCAATCCCACTGTGTTTTTTGACACGGGTGATTCCCATTTGTAACCTGAACTCCTCGGGCTGAGCCGCAGTGACGGCGACAGGACGCGCCCGGAGTCACCAGGGCAGGAGGGACAGGAGCAAACACCACCAACCACTGGGATTTGGGAAGATGAAAAAGGGTGGCCTGAACCCTTACACTGCCAGAGGGCAGGC